ACTGGAGGAAAATCCATGCTACTTGCTGAAGTATTTGATAGCTGTTTTGCTAAGCAGGTGCTTGTTTATTTTTGTTAGTGATTATAATGTCTGGCAGTAGGAAAATATTAAGGAGGTGTCAGAGCTGTGGAGGAAAAAGCCAACTCCCAAGTTACAAATGGATGATGGCAGAATTTATGGGCTGACTGGTGTTGCAAAGAAAAGGACAATTATATCTTACTTGCAACATGGAGGGAATGTTTTCCTTCAGACCCAGCCCTGTACAAATGTGCCTCAAAGGTTTTCACACAAGAGTCTACAATAAAGCAAGCTGGTCTGGAAAGAAACATAGGTCAAAATTTTCATGCAAAGCCTTCAACGTGATATTCAGTGCACTCTTACACTCTGCCCTTCAGAAAGCCCTGTTTTTACAAAGTTCATGAGAATTAAAATTGCTGACAGATGTACCAGAACCTACAGATTCTGTGGGATTTCAAGTCAGATTCATATGATTCCTTCCAAGATATCACATCAATTATCTCATTCAGCTTGTCAGTGCCATTTTAAGAACACACAGTTCAACTCAATCCAGCAGCACACAGAAGAAAACAATGTCAGCCTCACTCCAGCCTCTGCTTCCACCAGCATCTCCCAACAAGTTAGGTAGATGTGGGTACCCCTACTACACAGGGCACACAAAACCTCACTGACAGAGCTAAACAAAACTTAGCAGGGCCAAACATCCCATTGAAACTCTTGCAAAAATCCCTTTAGCAAGGCATTTTCAATCCATTTTTTCCTTCAACCTTCACTCCTCTCCTCCTAGCCATAGGGCAATGGTAGCAATGAATTTTGTGTTAAATCTACAAAGGTGCTGTGAGATCAAGTCAGACTAGGTCAGGCCATGGCTCTGTGAGAGAGCATCTTCAATATTTGCAGCATAAGCTTGAGGTGTTTCACCCTCTCTCATCTTGCCCATTCTTTCTCTTGTCCAAAGGAATACTGTTTAGTCCTAAAAAAGGCAAAGCCAAGGAGGAGGAGGAAGGTGGGTCCATTCCTAAGGTCTTTGTCATTCACAATAAGTTTAGAGCAAGGGTGAATACAGCTAATGCATTTGTAACATTTCAACACCCATCCCCTTTCCTGTAAATTTCTGCAGGACTTTGGCAGCAGAAAGCCTAAGTATGCTAGAAGTAATGGAATTACAAAAGAAAGGGAGTGTAAGCAGCGGGAATAGGAAGGAACAGCTAAACAGATGCTTTTTGATTTATATGCTCATATAAACCAGAAGTAGTTGTCAGCTGACTAACAGTTTGTTAATCAGCTTATCTTCTGAGAGCAGGGTTTGGATGTACAATCAACTACTTTTAGTTCACATGCCTGTCCCAACATCGCAGCTTTTAAGGCAAGCATCAGCCATGCTCTTTTTCCTTTGATAGTACACATCTGTAAGTAACCAGGTAGATTGAAGGTGTTGTCATTCATCATCAGGAGCTGAATCCAGTTGTCAGAATTCTTCATCCCGTCAAGATGCCCATTGCTGGGCAGATGTGCTTTCCCTAGTATGTCTCTGACTCAGCAGCTAGCACACTGAATAATGAAGCATGGGCAGTTACTGAAAATAAGTGTTCTCCATCACATGCATTTCCAGGCTACATTTCTCCTTAGCTTCCAAATTAAAAAACCAAACCAAACCAAAAACAACAACAAAAAATAAGACATGCATGGATTACTGAACTTTTTCTCTTTTTTTTTTGACAACTCAAGTAAATAGACTTTGAAGGAGCAAAAAGACTATAAAGCTTGGCACCACAAACCATTTCTATGCATAGCTATAAACAGGCCTATGGCTAGTCTATAATAAAGGAAACTGTGCAAATCAACTTATGCACAGTATCTTCAAAATAGATGTACTACCCACAGTTAAACACGGAGCTATTCCGAGAAATGCTGAAGAAAACAAACCTTTTCCTTTCAGCCTGCCTTCTCCACAAAATCAGTTCAGCCAAGACTTGTGACAGGAGGGGGATGCTTTGGAGGAACAAGAAAGGGTAGTACTGCATGCTCTTACACATGTGACTCTCATCAGGAGACTCGGATACCTTTTGCCTGGAGGTGACCGTGCCTGTGGTTTAGCTGGAGTGACTCAGGCTGTGCCTGCTGGCCGGGATGGTCAGCCCTTGGGGCTGAAACAAGGGCAGAGGTGGGTGGAAGCTTTTCCACACATGATTAAGATTTGAAACATAAGCTGGGGCATTGCTGTAATCATCTTTTAAGATGTCCCACATGGACAAGCAGATGACTGAATTTGTTCCTTTGGAAACCAAAATAATCGTGACAATATTTGGAATTGCGACAATCTACTTGAATCAAATCATTACTGATTATTGCTGCTAAAGCAATTCTAATTATGGGAAGTTGTAAGCAGGTCATGTTTGCTGGTGAAATATAAGGAAAGCCAAACCACTGAAATGGGTAAAGTCACAGAACAGAAGAAACCACCAGAAACCAAGGCTGCCTCAAACTGCTCACCCTGCCATGGCCAACTGGCAGCTCTCCCTGAATGCAAAGAAATCCTTAGTTTCAGTTCATTTGGATAATTGCATTCCATATGCAGTTAAGTCACATTTAAACTAACTGGCATATAAAAGACATTCCTACTTTATGTGGAAAAATTAGCATAAGGTGGTAAGATGTGCTAACGCTAAAATCCTGCAGAATTAGAACCTACCAGGGATAATCAGGAATACTTTGATTCATTGACAGGTTCAATCCAAACATTTTAGCCAACTTACTTCCCCAGCATGTTAAATGTATTGTCAGCTAATTAAAAGAATTGTAGTAACTGCTTGAATTCCAATCTCCATCTGAATAAAATTTGTCACAAATTATGAACAACCACCTAATGGGAACAGATAGACAATGTTTACTATTTCTTAATACACAAAGCATAAAATTTTAAGGGCCCCAATCAAAATGTCAGATGGCAATGGCTTTAAAACACACGTGTAAAAAGAAAACAAAAAGTGGCAGCCACCCTTTCTGATCTTACATGCTGCCTACTGAAGTCTCCACATGGTTCACCTCCACAAAATACATTCCTCATACCTATGGGAACTGTGGGAAGGGTGGAGATCCCTGAGAGCTCCTCAGGCAGGAGATGCCAGGAGCCATGGAGACAGTGGCAGGGA